CAGTGCGACAACATTAAGTGAGACACAAAGTAGACTTGAGCATACCATAACCATGCTATAGCTCATGAAGCTGTCGATTCTTCAGTAGGACACTGGCACTTTGTAACAAAATATGAGATGCATTCCTATATCTGCTGCAAAGTTCTATTTTGTTTTTTTTTCAGAAATAAAACCTGTAAGATATAACGCCTACCATCTATTCAGTCTCAGCTTCTTTTTGTGAACTGTTCTTGGCACAGAAACAGTAAGAAATGGAGCTCTAATATAGTTGTATTTAAAATGTACTCTAGATTTCAATTAGACTGTATCAGTTACTTTCTGATAGGAGAAGATAATGTTCTTCAGCAGAAGTAAGCTAGCACAAGATGTAGCTGTCTCAACTCCAGCTGAAACTCTAGTTGAAAATCCAGCCTATATAAAGTGATACAAAAAGTTTATTCCATATAGAGCAGCACTTGAACCTATTTGTCAGCCCATGAAACAAGAGGAACTAGTTGAAATAGACCCAAAAATCAGACCAGTTGAGTTACGAGTTTCAGGCTTAGCACCGAAGTGTAATTTTCTGAATGCAAACACCTAATACTTTAATCCACTCTGGAGCATTTTGTTTATTACTTTTGTTACCTTAGTGTTTGGATATGGAGAAGTAACATCGTGAGTGTCAGGTGCATTTATTACAGTTCACAGACTAAGAGAAGGCCAGTGTTGCCATCAAACAACATCCAGTGTAAGGAAAAAAAAAAAAGGGGGGGGGGGGATTTTTGGGAGATGTCCTTCTGATCCAAAAGAAGTATTTGGAGTACATCTTAAAGTTAGATATATGGCCTACCAAAGGCTTCCCAGTCACGGCAGACCATCAGGCTCCAGTCAGATCAATCTGAGAATCAGTTACCTTCCTTCCAAGGTCTGTGTGGGTTCCCTTAATACCGGGTCAACACCTAGAGTTATGATTTCGTTTCAGGCTTTCCTAGTGTGAAAAATCTTGATTCCTGGATGTTTTCATGAGTGAGATTCTTAAAATGATATTGCTGCTGGAGGTCTTAAAACTCAGCAGCTTGTTGCTGAAAGTTTCAGGGTCCAGTATCTGAGATATACCAACTTCAGAAAGTTTACCATAATGGGATTTCTGTTCTAAGTGGGGCTCTCTAAATGCTGCTGGCTTATCACTGGGGATTATTAAAACATCTTACCATCTTTCAGGAGTTAAGGAGAATTTGGAAGTCAGATAGTCCCAATCTGTCTAAGATTTATTTTTGGTGTCGGTGTCCAGTAATACTGGCTGAGATGTTCCATCTGGTTTGGTCCTTGCTGGCTCAATCAAACACCCATTCTTGCCCGTGGGTGAACCTTACTGGGGCTCCCAGTTGCAGCGTTTGTTATGAAGCAGGGCTCTGGCAGAGGGAGGCTTTTTCCCCACAAGCCTCCCAGCCTCTCCCCTTCAGGAGAGCAAAGTGTTTCTATGCCACAACAACTTTGTCCATGCAGCTGGGATCTCTTTTTGCCCACAGCTACTCAGATGCAATTTTTTTAAAACAAAATAAAACAAACCTAGCTGGGAACTTGACAGTAAAGTCGGACCTTCATGAACTTTCAGGTTTCAGTAGGCCATAGTTTGAGAGTGAGGGGTGTAATGCGTCTTCAGTTAGAGCAGCTATGTAAATTGTGTGCAGAGAGTGACAGTTTACGGCAACAAAGCTGGGTTTCCTTTTGTTTTGGAAACCAGTGTTTTCTAATGGAAGTAAGGTGGCAGGGAAATTGCCATCGCAGCAGATGGACTATTTTCATCAACCTTCAAGAGGTTCCAATTTCAAGAGCAAGGTTTGCCAGCCGGTCTAAAAAAAAAAAAAAAAAAAAAAAGGGAAAAATGAAAATTTTCTCTACCCCAAACAAAAAAACCAACCAACCTTCCCCCCCCCAGCCCTTGCCTGCTTTTGACCTCAAATCCTTTTGAAGAAGTGCAGCTAATGCATGCAATAATGCAACTGATATTGAGGATGATTTACACAAGAGTGGGAATGCACTTCCATAAAAAAAAAAAAAAAAAAAAAAAAGAGGAGAAATTGCAATTCTAGTCTGTGGCTTGGAATGGATGCCGTGTTTTGCTTCAGTGACTGTAGCGATAGTTTTTCAGACAGAAGTAGTATGTGAGGTACTTGAGGTGTGGTGCAGTTCTAAACCATGCCGTTTGCTTCTAGATGATAGATGTATTTGGCACGTGGCATAAGTGTTGCTAAGTGCTTCCCTGTATGTATGTCATAAATAATACTGAGTGTTCATCGTCATTTTAATTAGTGCTTAAGAAAATTCTTCCTGCTGTGTTTCAGGAAAATACATTGTGCTTGGCTGGCACAGGGCATCGTTTTACCCTGGCAAGTAATGGTTGGAAGCATTTGCGATGTGACTGTTTAATCTTGGTACATATTTTCTTTCAAAACCTCTTTACTAGTAACTATCTTTAGTGTACTGTATTTAGGATATAGTTAATTCAGCTCTGGGATCTTTTAAAGTGAAGACACCTACTTAATTCTTATGCAGAAATCCACACCAGCAAGGGAATGTCTTAGAAAAGAAGGGTTGCTAAGGGATGCCATATGCAAATGCTAGATCTCATAAGATGTGTGGCATACAAGATGTATGATTGCAGACGTAGGAGCCAGGCTCTTGGCAGGTATCAGCACAGGTTCACAGTGTCATTGTGCTGGCTTGCATGAGGGGAAAACAAAAGAGCCTATGGTTTAAATGTCAGGACAGCTGTATTTTAAACCCATTCGATTCACCGAGTCCAACGTGTCGTCGGCACCGTGTGCTCTTCCCAGAGGGAGTTTGAGGGTTGCTGCGGCGGGAGGCTCCATTGCTGTGCTGCGTGTCCTGAGTATTTGCTGTTCATTGTTTTCTGAAACTCAGCATTTTTAACTTACAACTGGATATGAAGACGGTCACAGGTTCCAAGATCAGTCGCAGCTGTAGTATAGTGATACTTGGTACAATAATGTTGTCCGCTGACAGGTGCAGCAGCCCCACTGTAGATTTAAGGCAATAAAGTGGTAACCAGCGGTTCTCGAGGTCCTCCAGGATTGCCTCCTTGGGGTGGCTGAGTGCAGTTGCTGCCTGCTTCGGAGGACGGGGTGTGGGTTTTATGGTGGCAGCACTAGCAAGCCTGAGCGAGTCACTTGGACGGACTCTGTTGCACTCAGTGCTGCAGGAGCGCGCAGGGAAAAGACCGTCTGTCCTTAGGTCACTGACTGCCCCGCTTGGGCCAGGCTCTGGGAACAGCAGAAATAGAGGGTGCTCGTAAAAAATCCTTATAAAAGTCAAGC